TTAGAAAGTGATTTGCCACGAATGGAGATGACTTTCCAACACTTGCGCGATGTAGTCAACTAAAGCAAGTCATCCGATGATTCACATGCTGACGATTTTGTTCATTCCGTCCCACCACACCAAAAATGGCAGTTTCATGGCCTCTGCTCCTCACTGACAGATGATTTTTCCTAAATCTAACCTGCACAGCCATGTTCTAAAAGGTTTGTGCTCTACAAGAAGACCAATATCTCCTAAACAAAAACAAAAGCATACGAATGAGCATAATATGCAATGTTAAGTCTAAGTTGAGCATGGTATTTGTAAGTAATCAGTTTTCCAACTTGTTTGAAAATGCATTTCAGAACATGCCTCTCATTGCAGAGACAATACTATTTCCTTTTCATTTGATATTCAATACATTCCATTCTACCAACGTTGATGAACCCCAATACACGCACGAACACACTCATACGTTTCTTTGATTTCGCCCAATTTTGCCAAGCCTGAGTTTTTAAGGTCAATTTTAAATGACCATATCTCGAGCATCTCTTTACATATGTGAAATATTATTGTGTCACATGATGCAGGATTTATTCAGCTTTAAATTGGCATACAGCATGAGTGGGTATATAAGTGCAAGGTTTTAACACAATGATTGGGTGATTACATTTTCAAGTTTCTTTTGGACGCCACTGTACAATAAAACATGTGCTCAACTTACATCTGGTGACTGGGTGTAAGAAATCCAACTCTTCTTTGTTAGATGAGCCCATATTTACTCAAATAGCTGCCTAACGCTCAGCCTTTCCCCATGGCACGTACTCCGAGCAAAAACATTGTGAACCCCCCCCCCCCCCACCCCGAAAAAAAGAAAAAAAGTTCGTACTCCATTTACTCATCATGTTCTGTCACCAACGACAGATGCTTTTCTCCTATGCTCATTAAGAAAACGATGGATACTACCATCGTGGTTGATTCTACAAAGGAGGAAGCATTGTTTGGTCTAAATTCTGGGTCAGTGTTACCCTTTTAAAAGTAAACACAATGTCAAGCTCACGCTTAGCACTAGGAACCTCTGACTGATCTGTGCATCATGCTCAGGATAATTACGTTGTTCTGACGTTTGATTCCCTCCTCCTCCTCCTCCTCCTCCTCCTCCTCCTCCTCCTCCTCCTCCTCCTCCTCCACTAGATCTTAGGGGAAGTCGACTGCGGGTTCTTCAACCTGCAGTGCAATTGATTTTTACGTAAGTGACCGCTTTTCATTCATCGTAGGGCCCTTTGCTTTCAGGCAACCACATTCAGATTTCGAAGGTACTCTTTATCACTTTATACTGACTAGAATATTGTCAGGTTTTGGTATGAATTAATTTTGAATGTTGCCTTGGTGGCGGCAGAAGCCTACTCTTATCGAGTTTAGAACCACCAAGAGAGCTTAAAGTGCGCAGCTTGCACATGGGATCTCCGAGATTTTTTTTCCTTTCGAGAGAGCCAAAAGTTCGATCACTGCTACCCTAAGATCAGGGATGTGTGGCTGAAAGACAGTAGTAAGAAGGAGCAAGGAGAAGCAGTACTTGTAGATATAGTCCGGAGCAAAGGAAGGAGGAGCCCACTGGCCAGGGGTGGAGATGAAAGCAGACGACAGAACATATCTAGAGAAAAGGAAAGGAGGTGAAAAGAGAACATTTTAGAGAAAAAAATTAATGTTTCCGTCGCTGTCAGGTTTCGAACCTGGAACCTATTGAATGTAAAGCGAACGCGTACCTCTAGACCATGAGAGCTCCGTGTGTTTGGTTCTGATTGTTCTGTTTTGTAATGATCTTCCTGGGATCTTTTTAAAACCGATACACAATACACACATGTACATGATCTTGTATTTCTATATTCTGTGAAATGATCCCAAGTGGAAATTCGTGAGCCAGTGTGTTTTGTATTTGTCTGGTTGTTTTTTGTTTTTTGTTTTTTTTTCTGTTTTTTTTTGTCTCTCCATTTCTACACTATTGATACACACACGCACATGTATGCTCCATAAAACGACTTCCATCATAAATCCATTTGCATGTTTGTTTGGTTTTTTGTTTTCATCTTAATTTTGCTTTAATGATACACACACGTACATCAATGCTTCATAAACAAATGACTCCCTTTAAAATTTGTGTGCGTGTTTGTTTGTTTACTTGTCAGTTTGTTTGGTGGTTTTTTTTCATTGTATTTGTACTTTGTTGATAGACACACCTACATGTATGTTTAATGAAATAAAACCTATATAAATTTATGTGATTGTCCGTGTGTGTGTGTGTGTGTGTGTGTGTGTGTGTGTGTGTGTGTGTGTGTGTGATCATGTGAGTAAGAGTATGATCGTGTAGGAGTATGATAAACCAATCAAGATGAAACGGAGAATTGCAATCGCTGCATCTAAACGGAAAATGATAACATCCACCTGAAGAGGACAATGCATAGAGAGAGAAAAAAAGTTCAAACTTTAAGAACATTCTAGAGACGGTTTTCAAACTTGCTACAGAGCTGACAGCATTTTAAAAGAAATTTTTCTTTAAAATTCTCCCTGCAACATCTCCTTATTGCTTTACGCTGAGATCAACTTCTCTCTTTTTTTGTTCCTCCTTAGGAACAGATTGGCGGGAGATTTGACTGAGCTCTATTAAGCTTACTGAAATCGAGACGAAATGTTACATGTTTGGTCTAATTGTATTCGATACTGTAGGCTATTTCCAATGATAGTACATAACAAGATGGGCCACTTCTCTCTTTGAGCCAATTAAAAAAGTGTCCTCAAAATTTGGTGGCGCCCTCTTCACAAAAGCGCACTCTTTGCGAACAGAGTTACCCTACTTGAGTTGTTAAAAATCAAAGTGAAACTAGCAAGTTTTTGGATAAATTTCGGAAGAACGCTTTTTAAAAATGATTACGCTGACAAAAAACCTCTTCCGGAGGAAAAGGAGATGGTTTTCTTCGTTTAATTTGACTTTAGAATGAAGGGCGAGAGGTCATTAAAATAAAAAAAAAATCACCTAAGACTCCGCACTGAACGTACCCGAACCGCTGATGAACAGCAGTCGATCTGCGCACGCAAGGAGGTGCTATTTCTATTCTTCTTCTGAAAAAACGAAAGAGAGCTTCAAAACAGACTGCAGCGCCATCTGAAGCAAAGAGCATACTTCCTGCGGACACTTTTTAGGCTGAGTGGCCCATCTTGTCTTGTACTATCTTTGCTATTTCACCAAGTTCAACAGTAACAAAGAAATATAGTAAAAAACTAGTCACTGTTCCCCGGTCGCTGTTCCCCGGTAAAATGACGTCATGAGTCGCTGTTCCCCGGCGCAGCCTGTTGTTCGTGTGAGTGAGTGAACCTTGAAGTCAAACTTTTGTAACGTCTACGGCCATTGTTAACGACCAAGACATATTTCTCCCTGCGAGATGAATAAAGATTGTCATTGTCATTGTCAAATATTTCTTCAACTGTCGAACACAGACTCTCAACCACTGACTTGTATTAATTTGTCTTAACAGATCAATATTTTTGTAAACACCAATTTGCTGCATTCTAGAAAACTCCTTAATAAATACTATTAAAAAACCCCGGTGGGCAGCTTTCTCAGATTTTAAAAAGTTTACAGCTGAGGCAATACTGCTTTTAAAAACCAAGTCCGTCATTTTTTATCGCAGCATTACCCTTCTTGAACGCATGTTTCGAGAACTTTTAGTGCCGAAATGTTCCCTATAAAATTTCTTTCTTTCTACAAGTTTTGCCTCTAAAAAGTGTCATTTGTGACCAGCGCTGTACAGTATGACATGTGCTGTGAACAATTCCGTTTTCCTCATGACGGAGATTTATAGTATTTTATATAAATTTATGAAAAATCGTTTTTAAATCAAGCCCCAATTGTTGTGGAAAAATAGGATTAAGAAAAGACGAATTGATACAAACTGCTGTGCAAAACACGAATGACCATAATTCATCCGTTTTTGAGATATCTGAGAGTAAGTTGTTCCACAAATTTAGACTGCACTATTATTGTCTGGTAGCGTTTCAAGAAACGCTGGATCATCTTCTAGTGTCATTGTCAGAAAGTTTTGCTTGTTAATATCTGAACCTTATAATAGACAACGTATAAGAAAGACACTATTTGCATGTGCACCCAATGACTATTCCTGAGAAGAAAGTATTTTTATGTGATACTGTGTATGCCTTAATGGAATATATATATATATATATATATATATATATATATATATATATATATATATATATATATATATATATTTGTGTGTGTGTGTGTGTGTGTGTGTGTGTGTGTGTGTGTGTGTGTGTGTGTGTACGTGTGTCTTTGTGTCTTTGTGTGTGTGTGTGCTAGTGTATGAGTGTGTGTCTGTGTGTGTGGGTGTTTGAGAGAAACTGAGACAGAAAGAGAGAGAGAGAGAGAGGGAGATAGAGAGAGAGAGAGAGAGAGAGAGAGAGAGAGAGGGAGAGAGAGAGAGAGAGAGAGAGAGAGAGAGAGAGAGAGAGAGAGAGAGAGAGAGAGAGAAATAGTGTTGATGATTGCCTATGTGTGTATGTATTTACAATGTTTTTGCAATATTCTTTCTTTTGTGGTAATCCGTACATTGTTATTTTGTTCAGCTTATCTTATCGTACTAGTTGTGAAGCGCACAGGGCATTCTGTAGAACGTGGATATGCGCTGTACAAATTCAAATATTATTGTATTATTACAGATATTTGAAGATTGCAAGGGAATAGAGCAAGGAGTTCCTAAAAGCTGAACATTTAAATCCAGAGACGTACTATTTCTTTTAATTACATAATTCTTAAATGTTTTTGTGATCTACCGCTGAATTATTCATCTAGTGGTTATTTTAGACAGGTTTCATATTTTTATGGCATCGTTGTGTAGGGCAGTGGAATTGGAAGAAAAGAACTTTACTGTAAATTGGACGTCACCAGTTTGCCTTTAGTTTTGCATTTGGCATAACCTTAAAAATTTAACATTTCTCTCATGCAGATTACAGTTTTCCTGTTTGCATAAGCGATCAGAGGCCTTTAGAAGCCCGGGATACACCAACGTTCCTGTACTCTCTGCAGGGTGGATACGGGTATGAAAGGTACGTCACGTTAGTATCCATAGAGAGCAATATGACTCAACTGATTTGCTAATTCAGTTAGTTTTAGTAAAAGTTGTACAGCACTTGCAGTACAGTAAGGTCATATTATAAGTACCGAAGATTAGAGGTGTTTATTGTCTAAAATTCCTTTCACCCCCTTTCCTGCTCTCTAACCATGTTCTGTCGTCTGCTTTCGTCTCCACTTTCTTCCCCCCCCCCCTCCCCATTGCCCCCTCCTATGAGCTCCTGACTCTTTCTGCAACCTTTCTACTGCTACTCCTTGACTCCTTCTTTACTGCTGTCCTTCAACTACACACCTGATCTTAGGATAGCCATCTCGGATATGGGCTAAAAAACCTTCAAGGTCACATATTATGCAAGTTGCGAGCGTAAACGATCTCATGGTCGTCCGAAATTGATAAGAGTAGGCTTTGCCGCCACCCGGGTTGGAATAAAATAATTCCTACTAAACTGTAAATGTTTAAGGTGTCCCGAACGAATATGACCTTATACCGTTGCGAGTGCTGTAAAACACTTACCAAAAACAAAAACAATTTTTAAAAAAGCAAAAATAAAACCAAACAAATCACTACCACCATCATACTTAAAGTCATCTTTGCTCTCAGCTCCTTGACATACTTCTGTCTTCCTTGAATTTCTACTTATAACGGTTCTGTCGTCATCGATTTCAGTACATGTCGATCTCTAAAGCCTTGATTGTAATTGTTAATATTCCAAACATGCTCATTGTATGTTTTCAATATGTTTGGCAATTGAACACTGCTGAAAAGCGAAGGATCTTGGACATTCCATCTGGAAAGAAAAACTTGATTTCAGTTATAACAGACTTTTACTTAATTAGGCTATGTTGTGTTACAATAATTATTTTATGCATAATACTTAATACTGTTATGCACACTTTTTTCTGCTAATCGTATGGCGTCAATTTGACTAAAAAGGGTAAGGGAAAAAAAAGAGAATGTTTCATAAGAGAATAACAAACACATAAAAGGAGGAGAGATACGGACGACATGCTTTAAAGGACAAGAGGAATAAACAACACCAGAACACCCACCAACATGTGCTAGAAGTAAGCAATTTCAACACAACCTACTAATGTGCTAGAAGAAAGCAATTTCAATACATGAAGTAAAAATGTTGCAGTTGTGAAACAAGGTGAAGTATTGAGATGTTGCAAACATGCCTCATCAGTTGCTCCACTGACTCCCCTCACCAGAAAAATAGTTTTTCTGACATATGATTTTAAGGAAGCAAAACGGAGCAATATTTCACTACTTCAGAATCACAAACTTCTATCTGACATTTTTTGCCGTTTTGAGTTGCTAATATCATGGTATCAGACATAAAATGCTCTATATGCTCTCTCAAAATCGTAAGATTTTTCGGAGTCGTTATCAAGATATTCAAAGAACTGCATTCGAAAAAGCTTGACTTGCTGTGAAGCTCAAAATTATTTACGTTAAATTTCTCAAAACTAGGCACTGAGCAGATAGGAATTTGTAATTTTGAGGTGACGATTTGTCAATGTAACAGTTGGATGTTATCAACGATCAAATTATTATATCGGTGATGTTAAATACTACCCGGCTCTGATAGTGTGCGCCCTTGAGATTTCACCCCCCCCCTCCGAAAATGCGAGGTTCTGATGCTTTCCTATGATATACGAACTAGCTTAAAAAAACCTACATTAATTGAATTCAACTTCTGAAAGCTCTGTTTCTTGAGTTTTTGACATAATGAGATTCAAGCAGCCTTCTGGGAAAAAATGCAGAGCTAATTAATTTTTAATCTGTTTTTCAGATACACAAATGACAAATTAACACATCATCGGCCAATTTGACACTCAAGGAGTTAAAATTAACATCATTATTATTAGTGTATTTATCATGTAAACAAATTCGCTACCCCATAATTACACATTCTATTTGACCTATTTGACCGTTTTGAGTTATTAAGACTATGGGGTCAAAAACCAAATGTTCTATCTGCTCTATCAAAATCGTAAGAGTCATAATCAAGATATCCAAAAAAATTGCATTCGAAAAAGCTTGACATGATATGAAACTCAAAATCTTTGATGTTAAATTTCTCAAAACTAGGTATTGTGCAGATAGAACCTTGTGATTCTGAGGTGACGAAATTATACTTTACCACATTATTGGCCTGTAAAAATTAATTAGTTAAACAAAGTCATAAAACATTATTAGTCTGTTTATCAGTTAAACAATTACAAGTTGAAAATTATTTAAAATAATTATTTGTCTGCTTGTTGGGTAGACAAATAAGAGTTTAACACATAATAATAATGATAATGTTTATGAGGTAAACAAACAACAGTTTAACACATTATAATCATAGATCTGTTGATCAGAGTAACACATTAAATTACACGTCTATACATACAATTATAATGGTCTTGGTACTTTTTGTTTGTTTTGTTTTGGTATGTGTTTCACGGCGCTCGCAATGGCATAAGGTCAAACGAGCGCGCGTTATAATGGTCTGTTTATCGCATTAACAAATGCAAGTTGAACATTACACAAAAATAATTATTGGTCTGTTTCTCAGGGATGATTGTAGGTGGAATGTGACGGCCCCAGATGACAAGGTCGTACTTGTTCGATCTTTTGCTACAAAGATTTTTCCTCGGTATGGATCTTGGTTTCCTTTTCTTGGTATGTATAAACACATTGGTGTCACAACGTAGTGAAATCAGGCTCTCGTCAGTTTTGGGACATATGGAAGTATTGGCTTCATCTCTAAGCTTGTTCATTTGTCTATCTTTTGATGGAAGAATACCCATCTGTCTTGAATAGAAGTCGAGATATTTCCGACAGAAAGAGGTTTGGGTTGTCTAGTTTCAGAGGAGAAATTAGCGAGAAAACAGCCGCCAAAGTTCGGTGACTTCCATAGCTTGAGAGCCCTCGGAAACTGAAAGTTTACGTTTCGTCAAAGTTTTAAAGCAAAATCTGCACAGAAATAAGTATTTCAAGGAAAATAAATAAATGACGAGCAAAAAAAACAAAACAAAATTCGATAAAATGTGACAAACCGGCAGGAAAATGCCGGTGTCTTTGATTTCGCTACTTTGACGAGAACCTGATTCACCAAGATCCCTCACATTTTATTCCAACAAAATACCTTTATAGTAGAAGAGGTTTACTACAATTTCAGCGGTCCAACATCATAGATAACTTTAGTCTTACGGTATGGAGTAGTTTGTTGTTGGGTTAAAGTTTAGTTTTAGTTACTGTTTTCCTTTATTTGTGTGTTCGGTTGGCTTGCCCTTGGGTGTTGTTTGCTACTTATTTCTTCCAGAAATAAACGTAAAACCATGCCATTGTCGCCCTCAGGACGATTTTTCGAGCCCGTTGACTTCCTGGATCTTAACACCGACGAGAGCTCAGTAGAACTTGACGAGTCTTACTTTGAACTTGTCGGATCTTCCACTCGAGGCTCTCTGCTGGCTGAGTACGTGGCAGCCTCTAAACGTAAGTTCCCCCAATTCATTGTTTACTCAATTTTCTAATTACCATTATCCATTACGCTCTTACCATCTTAATCATCTTGCAAAATACGTATTTTGTGACGTCTACTACTACTACTACTACTACTACTACTACTACTACTACTACTGCTGCTTCTACTGCTGCTGCTGCTGCTGCTGCTGCTGCTGCTGCTGCTGCTGCTGCTGCTGCTGCTGCTGCTGCTGCTGCTGCTGCTGCTGCTGCTGCTGCTGCTGCTGCTACTACTAACTGTCTTTGTATAACGCACTTTCACGCTCTACATCATGTTCTATGCGCTTTACAATTACTATTACCCCTGCAGATCCTAGAGAAATGAGGGGGCTCTCGTGGCCTAGTGGTTAAGGTGCTCGCCTCTAATTCAATATTTCCCGGGTTCGAATCCGGATAGCGAAGAAAAATTTCTTCTCTAAAATGTTTTTCTTTCACACCCTTTCTTTGTCTCTATTAATACTTTGTCGTCTGCCTTCGTCTCCATTTTCTGCCCCCACTCCTTCACCTACTTTACATCCTCCTCCGGGCTCTTGGCTCTTTCTGCAGCCTTTTTACTCCTACTCCTTGGCTCTCTCGTACTGCTGTCTTTCAGCCACACCCCTGGCAGGAAATATCTACACTTGGCCTTCTCGGACAAGGGTGAAAAATCTTGGAGGTCCGGTGTACAAGTTGCGCATGTTAAAGATCCCTTGGTGGTCCAAATCGATAAGAGCAAGCTTCGGCTACCACCCTGGCAAAGCTCAAACATTCCTACAAACTGAAAATGTTTTATGTGTCCTACGTGCTCATATCACCTTGTGCAGATGCTAGCGCCGTAAAACACTTACCAACAAAAAAACACACAACGGAAATGAAAGTTCTGAAATGCTATGTATGGTCAACCCTTCTATATGGCTGTGAATGCTGGACAATCACTAAAGACAATGAACATAAAATAGAAGCAACAGAAATGTGGTTTCTTTGGAGACTGCAGAGAATATCGTGAAAGGAAAAGAAATCAAATGAGGTAGTACTTTACTAAGCCCACGTGAGATGCTCACTGTTAAAAACAATCAGGAGAAGACACATGCAGTTTTTGGGACACCTGAATAGACATAAAGGTCTTGAACATCTAGCTCTCACTGGCAACATTGAAGGCAAACGAGGCTGTGGTAGGCCTACTTAGAGAACTTAAACAGATGGGTAACGGGGAAAGATCAGGGTAGCGTAATTTTTTAAGAGTATCTGAGATAAATGGAGAACCATGATTGCCGATGTCTGTCGCAGATCTGGCACTTGATGGTAATGATGATGATGGGACCCTAAATCACTCACAATCATTCTAGGCTCCCAGGAAGCACACTTAGCGTGCCTCTAAAGCATCTATCGGAAAACTGTCAGATTACTCTCAGATTACTGATTACGTTTTTTGTTTAAACATTATCAAGGGGACTCTCGAGGTCGACACGTTACGGTGTTTGCCCCTCATTCAATAGGTACCGGGTTCGAATCCTGACGGCGACGGAAAATCTTCTTCTCTAAAATATTCTCCTTTAACAACCTTTCCTACTCTCTAACAATGTTCTCTCGTCTGCTTTCGTCTCCACTTTCTGCACCGACCCCCTCACTTCCTTTGCCCCCTCCCCTGGGCTCCCAACCCTTTTTGCAGCCTTTCTACTGCCACTCCTTTGCTACTCCTTACTGCTGTCTTTCGGCCACACCCCTGATCTTATGATAGGTAAGATCAAACACCTAGATTTCTCGGATAAGGGCGAAAAATATCGGAGGTCCCGTGTGCAAGTTTCGCACGTTAAAGACCCCATGGTGGTAAAAAATCGATGAGAGTAGGATTCGGCTGCCACCCGGGCAAAATGCAAAATTTCCTACAGACTGAAATTGTTTAATGGGTCCTGCGCGCTGGTATGACCTTAATCAGTGGCGAGCGCCGTAAAACACTTACCCCCCCCCAAAAAAAAACAAACAAACCCCTCAGCAAACCCCAACATAATCATGGTGAACAATGATAGTATTCATATTTTTAATCAGACACGTCTGACGTTTGGTCTGTTCGTGAGTGGGAGTATATTATGTGTGTATGTGTGTGTGTAAGTATAATATTATAATATAAGTGTAATATGTACATTATGTGTGTAAGCATTTCTTATGTGTGTATGTGTACATTGCGTGTGTGTTAGAGAGGATGTGTAAAAGAGTATGCAGTGTATCATGAGTGTGCACGTGTGTGTCTGAATGTGACCGTGAGCGTGTGTCTTTGTATGTATGTGTGTATGTGTGTGTATGTGTCTATGTGTGTCTGTATGTGTGTAATTGTCTATGTGTGTGTGTGTGTGTGTGTGTGTGTGTGTGTCTGGAGAACCACCAGGCCATTGCTCGAGAGTGTAGGCAATAAATATCTGATTGCATCTAGTCACTTCTTATCCTATCTTAATAGAAATGCAATATCAGTGAGCATTACTTGACAGTAGATACCATGCTGCACTGGCAGGGGTATGACCTGGGTTTGAATCCCAAAATCACTGTCGAACACTCAGGCTATCTGAGGAGATTTTACGGCTCAAGATTCGCTCTGCTTGTTTTGTTATATCCAGATGTTTGATTTTAAAGGTCGCAGTCTATTAAGTTGAATTCAGTCGAAGTGTGACAAAATGGTAGTTTTTTTTATCCACCCATGAAGGAGAATCGGGCTGGACCAGTCTAAATCAAATGTGTTCGATTGGCAGTGTGCACTTGGTATACTTTCTCTCAATCTCTCTCTCCCACACAAAACTTGTACTCATTCACATACACACTCAGGAACACACACATACACACTCACACAAACACACGCACACACACACACA